GAACACAGTATACACATTGATTTCCTGGCCTGATATAACCCATTTACCTATTCAGCTACTCCGTTGAGGAAGGTGGAGGGGTCCCCAGGCCCAGGGGAGCAATGATGCCTGTAAGTAGGTTAGCAGATGCTTGGGGATGTCTTAATCGCTGCGCGGTTCCCTCTTCAGGAAGACAACGTTTCTTTGCAAAGAAAAGGCCTCCTTCGACTCTTATCGGCTTCATCTGGGGAAACACTGGAAGTTGGGGGTGTCACCTTTGCCGCTCATCAGGATTTGCCCTTCTCATTACTTAAAACTTCGATGTTGTGCGACTGTCTTAGCTTCTTGGAGGGCAAGGGGGGGGGCTGACTTAAAAACCAGCTCCTTCCAGGCGTACCTTTGACTCTGATTTAGGTGCGCTTGGAGGCGCGCCCACAGAGAATGCACCGGGATTCTTTGATGGAAGATCTGTTTCCCTAGACTAGTTTTTAACTTTCCAATATAATTTGAAAAGAAACCGAGGCTGTTTGAGAGAAATTAATGAGACAGTGTGGTGGTGTATCCCGTTTAGGACGCCATGCGGTGGGTTTTGTGACATGACAAGACTGACGCTTTAAAACCAGTCGATGAAGACGTGTCCTCCTGAAATAGTCCTCGTCTCCCCGTACTTCTTAAAAGGAAGCCATTATCGCCAGAAGCAATTTTAGACTCTGTCCTCTGTGTTCCGCCTTTGGGAACAGGCTTGCTTTTTCCTGGTGGGTTTTCATTCTTGGAAGGTATCGAGTGGGTTTTGGAATGGCCAGAAATCATCCCGAGTCCCTCTCCCACTGATGGTCACTTTGGGTGAGAAATAGTTTCCCAGCAAAGTGACGTGGGTGGGAGACTGTGGGCAGAAGCGCTTTTCCTTTGTCCTTCCCAGAAATGGAAAAGTGTTCTAGGATTTTGACATGGGAAAAAATGGCTGAAGTTTGAGCCCTGAGGGTGGAGGAAGAGAATTAACTATTGAGCTAAGACCTAGTCATTGGGATCTCCATTTAGAATTAATATATATATATATATATATATATATATATATATATATATATATATATATTTTCATATTTATTTATTTTTATGTGGTGCTGAGGATTGAACCCAGGGCCTCACATGTGCTAGGCGAGTGCTCCACTGCTGAGCCATAACCCCAGCTGGGTTCGATCCTCAGAAACACATAAAATAAGGGCTAAGTTTGTAGGGTGCTTGTCTTGCATGCACAAGGCCCTTGGGTTCAATCCCTAGCACTACGATAAATAAATGAATAAATAAGCATATTAAAAACTTTTTTATTTATTCTAATTTGTTATACATTAGAGAATGCATTTCAATCTATAGCATACATATAAGCACAATTTTTCATTTCTTTGGTTGTACACACCATTCGTGTCTTCCTATGTGTACTTACCAAAGTGATGCAGCCACATCAATGTCTATAGCAGCACAGTTCACCATAGCTAAACTGCAGAACTGACCTAGATGCCCTTCAATAGATGAATTGATAACGGAAATGTGGTGTATACACACCATGGAATATTACTCAGCATTTAAAAGAGAATAAAATCATGGCATTTGCAGGTAAATGGATGGAGTTGGAGAGTATCATGCTAAGTGAAGTAAGCCAATCCCCCAAAGCCAAAGGACAAATGTTTTCACTGATAAGTGGATGCTGATCCATAATGGGGTTTGGAGGGGAGCATGGGAGGAATGGAGGAACTTTGGATAGGGCAAAGGCGAGGGAGGAGAAAGGAGAGGGCATGGGGAAGGAAGGATGGTGGAATGAGATGGACATCCTGACTCCATTTAGAATTTTGGGGAAGATCTCCTGGGCCTGGGGAATCGTCGTGAAGATTCTCGTAGGAGGTGGAGCTTTGTTTCAGAGCCATCTTGGAAAACCCACAGCTTTAAAAAGAAAAAAAAAATCACCCCTGCCTTCCATTTCCCTATGAGAGATGAAAACAGATGTCAAGGATTTGCTGTCTCCATTCCCCACCTGACATCCTTGGTGGTATTCGGAGGCATTTCCCTTGGACTCAAACTTCCCTTTGGGGTCTGTTTCTCCTGAGCAGAGCTCTGTGCTTCCCCCCACCGTTCCCTTGCAGTTGGGAGGTGGTGTCATTGCTGTCTTGGATATTTTCCCACTTGTGTTTCAGCCTCATGCCAAAGCTCTTGACAAAAGTCCATCCTCGGAAGCTTCTTGAATGTGCTAGACATTTTCATTCGTAGGTTTGTTTGGCTCATCGTTTCCAAATCGAGTTCACAAAAGCCTAGTGAGAGAAGCAGAGACCAGGCTGACTTCATTTACCCACAACTTGTCCCTCCGTTAATGGACCAGGTTCATTTTTGATTCCTTCTGTGGAGCACTTTTAACACCCTTATTGTTCTATGGAAAAGAGTTTGGGAAACAGTAGTTCACACAGAATTTTTTTTCTCTCCTAATATTGGTTAACATTTGTCCCTCCATTTACTTCTGGTGGGCTCAACTGTCATATATAACTAAAAAGGACCAAGAGAGAGGTGGGGGGAATGTGTTAACTTGCATGCACTGACTCCTTTAAACCTGATCTGACAGGCAGGGGCTGTTGTTGAGTCCCCGTGTCACAAGGAGGAAAGTGAGACTAGGAGCAATTGAGTAACTTGCCCAGGGTGACCCAGCAAGGGTGTGGGTCTCAGAAGTCTACAGCTGAGCTGAAGCTTCTAGCCTCCACTGTCTCCTTCCCCCAGTGGGTGGTCCTGGCTCATTGTGACATCAATCGCCTGCCAACTCTAAGTTCTGTTTCACAGGCTGGCATCACAATGTTGAATGATTGATTGAGGAGATAGATTACAATGTGTCCCCGAGAGGGCTTTGTTTCTAGAGGACACGCAAAACTATACAGAGTGTCTATGTCATGGCGTGCATTGGTTCCTGTCTCCAGGAATAGCTGGGGATGAGTGGTGACTACATGTGCCCCGAGTGGCCCTGCCATCTCTCTGTGGCTGTTCAGCTTTGCCCGTACAGATGGAGGTAGTGAGCAGAGGCAGTTTGGTGGCATCCACCCGACCAGTTCCTTTACTCTCATCTCTTAAACGATTATAGTGCACATTCGATGTTCACTCTGGGTTTTGATGTGGCATCCTTTTTATGAGGCGGTATAGAATGCAGCTTTGAATATCAATGTGTGTGTCTTACACGTGTGTTCAGAGAACACATTACATTAGAAGGTGCTGGAAAGAAAAAAGATGCTAGCGATCTTAAATGCCTCCAAGTGCCTTTTATGAGATGCAATCAACCATGTCTTAATTCCCTCTATCCATCATTAGTTGAGTGGTGGAAATATATGCAAAAGAAAATGGAAGCCGGGCAGTAAGGTAGTGAAGAGGTTTTACAAATTAGATTATTTGAGTATATGATTCCTCAGATAGAAGGATATTGTCCAAAGGGCCCTTTAATTATTATTCACTTCCTTTGGTGCACAAGAGAATATTGTCAGGGCTGCAGGAGCACTTCACCGCAGTCGAATTAAAAGAATGACTGTCAGCCTCAGGGCTGGGTCTACACTGGCTCAGGCAGGGTGAAGACAAGACATCGCTGATGCTTGGACTGAGACACGTGTTGTTGAAGGGGTGTTTGCCCACACAGGGATCTTGGTCAGATCCCTTGTCAGTGACTGGGTTGTCACCCTGAGCATTTACCCTCTGCAGATACCCAGCTGTCCCCGAGTTCCGAACGTCTTTTTCTTTCATGACACACGTTTTTGACCAAGTGAGTTCCATCACCATCCTTTCTCTAAAATCTGGTTTGGAAAAGCCCAGGCATCCAAAATTGTTTTGTACTTTAAAAATGTGGATTCGAGCCGGGTGCAGTGGCACACTCGGGTAATCCCAGTGGCTCTGGAGGCTGAGGCAGGAGGATCGTGAGTTCAAAGACAGCCTCAGCAAAAATGAGGTGCTAAGCAATTGTATGAAGAACTGCCTCTAAATAAAATACAAAATAGGGCTGGGGATGTGGCTCAGTGGTCGAGTGCCCCTGGGTTCAATCCCTGGTACTCCCCCTACTCCCCAAGAAAAAGTGTGGATTCAAAGTCTAGAACAAAAAGAAAACAATAACAACAACAGCAGTGAAAGCAACTAGATTTCTGGACATAGCCTCCTTCCAGCCGATGAGCTCTTCAGCTTGTGTCTTGGAATGCTCTGGGAATACAATACTATGGTGGTGGTGTCTGGACTCCCTTACCTAGCACCTTTTAGGAATCATCCAGTGGTTACCATGAGTTACATAACTTCTATGTGATGTTAAACTACCATTGCCCAAACTCTGTTACATGGTACAATTAGGATGTTAATAGACGCTCCAGAAAAGGAATAGAAAATTACCTTGTTATTGGTGATGCTGGGATAGTGTGTCTTCAAAGTAGGGTACCAAATAAGAAAACCAGATTGGGAAGGTTAAAAGTCAGGGCGGTCATCATGGGAATAAGTCAGGTCTCTCTGGAAGTTTCTTGAACTTGATTTATGTTTCCTAATAAAATTTTAGACTATGCATTGTTGGTGAGAGAGCGGGGAGTTCTGCAGTCTTTAAGATCATCTTTCCAGAGCTCTTTCTTTTCTGGTGTGACTCTGACCCTGGAAAAGACCTGTAGCCCTCCATTCCCTCTGCTCTCCTCTGGGGCCTCTCCTCCTCTTACCTTCTGTTTGCAAGGAGTCCCAGGGCACAAGTGGGCTGCTCATGCTTCCCAGCAGCAAAGAGGGATGGAGAAAGAGGGGGAGAGGAGGTTGCTGATGGGTGATTACAGGTATAGATACTGGTCATCTTGACGCACTTTATGGGTGTAATAATTACCAAAGGCACCCCTCTACAGGGCACCCTGGCTTTGTGAAGGAATGAACTGAGGGCCTTCATCAACCCTGGGAGAGACAGCCAGGTGGGTGTGCAGAGGTGTCATCCTCCATGCTTGGGAGGTGTGGTCATTTGCTGGAGACTTTAGCTGTGTTCTTGCATCTTTCAGTGGCTTTGAGAGCAGTCTTTGTGGGCATCCTGGTGTCAACAGTGACAAGGAATTGAAATGAAAAATGGTCTGACCCATGGCAAAAAGGCAACAGCATCAGCAATATACCTGGAGATGTTATGGATCTGAAATGAGGGGCTTCCACGCTATCTTTGATGATGTTTAAACATCGTGTTTACTGGACCCACACAGAGGTGAGCACACATTTCCATGTATGGAAATCTTCATTCCAAGTTTCTGCCCCATTGAGTGGCAGGCTCCATCTAAGATTTTCATGTTTACTAGTACTTTTTTTTCTTTAACCCACTGAGCTACATCCTCAGCTCTTTTTAAAAAAGTTTATTTCATTTTATCTATCTATTTATTTTGAGATAGCATCTTTCTAAGTTGCTTGGGGCCTTGCTAAATGGCTGAGGCTGTCCTCAAATATGCCATCCTCCTGCCTCAGCCTTCTGAGTCGCTGGGATTACAGGACTGTGCCACCACACTTGGCTTTGCTATTGTCTGAGTACAGATTTAGATTAAGAATGGCTTTTGCTGCCAGACAGATTAGGTGTTGGTCCATTTTATTTATTCACATAAAATAATCATCCTTACTCACCTTTAGAGTAAATGGGCAGAGGATGAGGAGGGGCAGGAGAAGGTATCTTCCCTGCTGCCACCCCACATGCCCAGTTCCCAATAGTGTCACTATGCTGATGATCCTTGGCCAATCACTTAAAAAGAATAGCCTTCTTTTTCGTATTCACTGTGAAAAATTTAAAACACATACCATGAAACTTATAAAATTCAAATCATCTGTAATCTCAGGACTCAGGATGGTAACAACTTTTTGAAATGTATTTTCCTATCACTTCCTAATGCATGTACATAAATGCATATTCACATATCAACTTTAAAAAAAAATGGGTCTCTGGGACTGGGATGTAGCTCAGTGGTAGAGTGCTTTCCTGGCAGGTGTAGTCCTGGATTCAATTCGCAGCACATAGTAATGTAAAACGAGAAAAGAAGTTGTGATGGACATTCGGTTTTATAACATGGACTTTTTCTTCAATATAACAACATGACTTTGCCCCAGTATTCAAATCGTTTTATAACCTGTATTATTCACTTACCATGTCATGGCTATGAAGCCAAGTGACAAATATTGTCTATTAACATCACTTTTAACACCTCTTGCAGGAGAATTTCCTTAACGTGAAACATTTCCATTGTATAATTTAAGGAACTTTCTTTGATTTCCAAGATTGACTACTTTAGATTGTTTATTGGACAGTTACATTTCTAGTTTTTGAATTTTCTCTTTTTGTATTTGACAATAATTGGCACATTTGATTTGTACAAGCAGATTCTCTATTAAAGATACAAAATTTTTATCATATGTTCTAATAATTTTTTATTCATTGTTAAATCCTTTTTATTATGAAATGTACAAATACAGAAAAGTGCACAAAACAAAAGCATGTAGCTAAGTCATAAGTCCACTACGAACACTCACACGACTACCTTCCAATCCAGTTGCCTGATTTCTCGCTTATGTTCCTTCCTAGTCACAAACCAGGAATTTTTTTCTTCCAAAACAAAAACCAAACTAAAACAAAACATGGTGCCAACTTTTATGGCATGTGATTTCTTGCTTTGCTTTACAGTATTTCCTGTAAGCTCGTATCCCTAAGTACTATGGTATAGATTTGTTGGTTTTTCAAACTTCATGTGATTGAGACCCTATCATACCCTGTGTTCTTCTGTGTTTGCTGCCTGTAACTGTGGCTCCCTTTTGGTTGTTCTGCAATTTTCCTTTTTATGACTATACCACAGTGTATTTTTCTGGGATTCTGTCATTGCACATTTAAGCAATTTCCCGTTTTTGGAGCAATGGATAATGTGAATATTCTTGCATGTGCCTCTTATTGAATAAACATGTGAGCTGCTCTATGATGTAAACTGTCTAAGGAGAGGGCCTCATGGGAGGGAACTGTGGGCAGCCTGTAGGAGCAGAGGGCTCAGTCCTACAGCCACCAGCATTTAAATCCTCCAGCAGTCTAGTCTAATGGGTAGGAAAGGACTCCAACCTCCAGATGAGAATGCTTCCTGACCAACACCTTGACTGCAGCTTTGTGAGATTCTGAGCAAAGACCCAGCTGGGCCCAAGCCTGCCTTGAATCCTGACCCAGAGAAGATGTATTTTCTAAAGCTGCTCTTTATGGTAATTGGTTTCGTGGTAATAGGAAAACAAAAAACAAAACAAAACAAAACAAGAACCAAAACATCCACCACAATCATCCTGCCAATCTCCTAAAATAAAATAAGAAAACTTTTGAATTTTTTTTTTTTTTTACTGGAACTGTACAGAGTAGATAATTTTGAGGAAAATTGAAAATTTTCACAAAATCAAGTTTCTAATCCATGAATATTTTTGAAACGTGATTTTATTTGATGTTTGTTGTAAATGGTGTGTATTAATTTTGTCTTACGTTTGTGGCTGGTATTTAAATTTTAAATTTCTATGTGAAAAAAAAAATCCAAAGCCCAATATAAACAATACATTAAAATTAAAATATGTGAGTTTTAGTGAGTTCATAGTTTGTGCCACAATGATCACAATCTATCACCCCTAAAAGTTCACTCAGCTAACCTCTGATTAGGAACTTCTAACTTTAACCAATCACAAGTGTTTTCTTTCTCGTGTTTCTGCAAATGCTTTAATAAGTTTCTCCTTGCACCCCTTCAGAGTGCCTGGTGCTATGATTCATGAGTCATTGAATGCTCAAATAAATTCTTTTAATATTTAAATGTGTTTAAGTTTAAAAAATTTTTTTTTTTTTTATTAAGGGCTCTGCCTCATGAGCATATGAACATCATCATTGCAGAAATGGGTTAGCTATTGTGAGAGTGGACTTGCTGTGAGTTGGGTCCTCTCTTATTCTCTCACTCTTGTCCTCTCTTGCTCTTCTGCCTTCTACCATGAATGATGCAGCATGAGGGCTCTTGCCAGATGTCAGTGTCATGCTCTTGGACTTCCCAGCCTCCAGAGCCATGAGCCAAATAAATCTCTGTTCTTTATAAATTACCTAGTCTGCCTTGTTCTGTTATAAAGGCAGAAAAAGGACTAAGAGAGTAATTCTTCATGATTTTGTTATCTTTGTGTTTAATTAGAGCCTTTAATTTTAATTTTTAATGTTATCTAGCTTTTCTAGTCATCATGGGGTGGGGATGATTGTTTAAATGATTTTTGACATTTGTCAAAAGTGGACGTGCACCTTTATTCAAAGTGGATGTGCCATAAAAATACCTTCAGCAGGTTTGTTGAGGTAAATTTATACACAATAGTAATTGCACATGAGTTTTAGTGAGTGTAGAGTTTGTGCAACAATGATCACAATCTATCACCCCTAAAAGTTCACTCTTAACTATTTGTAGTCCGTCCTCATTGACAGCTCTCAATCCTAGGCAGCCACTGATCTGCTATCAGTACAATGACTTTCTAAAAAATTTTCTAGAAAAATCACAAAGTCTATACTTTTTTGTGTCTGGTGTTTTTTCACTTAATATAATATACATAAAATTATACTTATAAGTATATACGTACATATATATTATATATATTCATATATTATTCTTAGTATAATATATTGAGGTACATCTGTGAAGGTTTATGCAATGATTTGTCATTTTTAGTGTACAAATTTGTAGTTAAAACTTTGTAGTTTCTGTATACAAAACTTTTGTTTATTTAGAAGTATTTATTTTGTGAATGAAAGGTTTACCTTAAGTGTATTTTGGTTTTTCTATGTTTTTATATTGGCACGTGATTGGTTTTTGTATATTGACCTTCTGTCCTATGACTTTGGGGAATTATATTAGTTCTTGTTTTTTTATGTTCTCTAGAAATAGAGATTCACTTATTTTGCAATCTACATGTTTTTGATTTATTATTTTTTTCTTGCTTTATTGCATTGGCTAAGTCCTCTACTGCAATGATGCTCTTATGAGGTAATCATGCAGTTTTTCATCATTCATTATGACAGTTGTAGGTTTTTCATAGATGATTTTTATGTGGCTGAGGAAGTTCCCTTCTATTCCTCCTAATTTTCTGAGAGTTCTTACCATATAGATATTGATTTTTTCAAATTAAGAAAATTAGTTAATTGATTTTGGTGTGGGATTTTTGTCCTTTATCTATTAATATTGTGTATTATATTACTTGATTTTTAGGTGTTAAACCAATATATGTTACATGGATAAATATCATTTGTAATGTTATATAATGATATTTTTATGTATGGAGTTCAATTTTCTACTGTTTTATTAAGAATGTTTTTCTATCTTCATTAAGGAATATTAACCTGTAGTTTTGCCTTTCTTGGGGTGTCTTTTTCTGACTTTGGTAGTAGTACTGGTTTTATATAATGACTTGGGAAATTTTTCCTCCTCCTCTATTTTCTGAAAGATTCTGTGTAGGATTAGTATCATATCTGTAATATTGATAGAATTCATTAGTGCAGCCATCTGGTTTGGGCTTTTCTTGTGAGAAGATTATAAGTTATTAATTCAATTTATTTGTTTGTTTTAGTTCTATTTAGATTTTTCTCTATTTTCTTGAATCAGTTTGGGAAATTTGTGTTTGTTTTAGGAACTTGTTCATTTTATCTTAAGTTGTCTAACTTTGTTGGCATAAAGTTGCTCATAGTTTCTTCTTGACTGGCTACAATGGGGTTGGTAATTATGACACCTGCCCCATTCCTGGTTTTGTTCATGAGTGCATTCTCTCTTTTTTGGTTAGACTATAGAGCTAAAAGTCTGTCAGTTTTATTAAGTTTTTCAAAAAACTAGATTTTTTGCTTTATTTTTTATTTTCCCCCTCTATTTTCATTGATTCCTGTACTGATATTTACTATTTTCTTCCATTTGGGTTTAATTTGCTCTTCTTTTCCCATAATTTAAAGGTAGAAGCTTACAGTATTTAATTGTGATTTTTCTAATATGAGCATTTACTGCTATACAATTTATCATTTACTGCTAATCGATTTATCATTACATTTTCATAGCTTTATTGAAATATAATCATTATATAACAAACTACACATATTTAACATATATAGTTTCATAAGTCTTCACACCCACACCCACCCACCCACACACACCCTCCAAAAAATCCCATTCAACATAATACACTTTCATCACCTCCATAACTTTCTTCATGTCCTTTGTAATTCTCTGAAATTCTTTTACTTACTCTTCCTTTCTGCACTAATTCTATCGTGTTTTCATTCTTAATTCTTTTCAAAATATGTTGGCATTATCCTTGTGATTCTTTGAGCTATTAATTATTTTCAATTTTTTCTTAAATTTTCTAGTTTTCCAAATTTCTTTGGTTTTTAGTCTCTAATTTCACTGTTACTACAGAATATACTTTAAATGACTTAAATCATTTCAATTAATTGAGGCTTGTTTTATGGCCTAGGTGCCTTCTAACTTCCCCTTTCCTGGTTAAGCACTTGAAATATATCATTCCACTGTCTTTGGGCCTTCAATGCTTTTTATGCAAATTCTGCTATTAATCATGTTGTTATTCTCCTGTACATGATAAACAATCTTACTCTTGCTTCTTTTAAGATTTTTTCTATTTGTCTTTATTCTTCACTAGGGTAACTACAATTTGTTTATTCTACATTTGGTTTGAGCTTCATGGACCTATATCTGTTTCTCATTATATTCAGAAACATTTTGGCTATTAATCCTTTGAATAATCTTTTTTTCTTCACCTTTCTCTCTTTTCTTTAGTTCTGGGACTCTCACTATATGTGTGTTGGCATATTTCATGCTTTCTCACAAGTCTTGGTATTGCTGTTTATTTTAAAGTGTCCTTTCTTCTTTGATGTTTTGCATTTTTCATTCTTTAAGCTTACTGACTCTAAATTCTGCCATCTCAAATCTATTGAGCCCATCTAATGAATTTTCATCTTGTGCTTTTACTATGTTTTTCATCTAGAATTTTCATTTTGTTCATTCTACAGTTTGTACTTCTTTATTTTGATTTTTAGCTTTTTGAGTCTGTGCTATTATGTTTTCCTAACTTTGATTTAAAAATTGAGGTGAAATTCATATAACATAAAGTTAACTATTTTATTTTTTTAAAAAATATTTATTTTTTAGTTGTAGTTGGACGTGATACCTGTATTTATTTATTTTTAGGTGGTGCTGAGAGGATCGAACCAGGGCCTCACATGTGCTAGGCGAGCGCTCTACCACTGAGCCACAACCCTAGCCCAAAGTTATCTATTTTAAAGTGTATTATTAAGTATCATTTAGTACATTTAAAATTTTGAATTGCAAGGGTAATGACAGAACATTTTTTAAAAAAATTTTTTTTAGTTATTGATAGAACTTTATTTTATTTATTTATTTATATGTGGTGCTGAGGATCAAACTCAGTGCTCACACATGCTAGGCAAGCACTCCACCACTGAGCCACAACCCCAGCCTGCCAAAAGGTTTTCATCACTCTAAAAGGAAACCTTGTACCCATTAAATAGTTGCTCTATATTCCCTCCTTCACCTAGTCCCTAGCAACCGCCAATCTGTGTTCTGTCTTTAAGAATTTATCTATTTTGAATATTTCACGTAGATATACCAAAACAATATGACATATTTTTTATTTGGCTTCTTACACTGAATGTGTTTTTTAAAAAAATATTTTTAGCTGTTGATGGACACAATATCTTTGTTTTATTTATTTATTTTGTGTGGTGGTGAGAATTGAACCCAGTGCCTCACACATGCTAGGCAAGCGCTCTACCACTGAGCCCTAGTCCCAGCCCCTGAATGTATTTTTGAGATTCATCTATCTACATTATACCATGTATTAAAACTTCATTTTTATGGTTGGATAATATTTCATTTTATTTTTATATAGCAGAATTTGCCTACTCATTTATCTGTTGGTGGATATTAGGTTATTTCCACCTATTTATGACCATGAATGTACATGTATTTTCTGAGTACCTGTTCAATTATGTTTTGGGGATGTATGTACGAGTAGAACTGCTGGGCTTGTATAGCCTTTTATGGGAAAGTCAAACTGTGGTTCATGGTGTCTGCACCATATTGCATTTCAACAAGCAAGACAGGAGGGTTCTGAATTTTCTACCTCCTTGTATTATTTTCCATATGAAATGTGAAGTGTTACCTCATGGTGGCTGTGGTTTGCATTTCCCTAATGACGAGTGCCATTGAGCATCTTTATATGACTTGGCCATTGGTATCCATTCTTTGAGGAAAGACCTGTATTCAAGTACTTGACCCATTTTTTTCAGCTGGATGTCTAAGAGTCTTTATATGCCAGAATCTTACGAGTTATGTGATTTGCAAATATTTTCTCACATTCTGTAAGCTTTTTCTTGATATTCTCCTCAGTGTTCAAAAGTTTTTGATTTTGATGAAGTATGATCCCTCTGTTTTTTTTTTCTTTTGTTGCTATGCTTTTGATGTCCTACCTAAAATACCAGTTGCCACATCCAAGGTTATAAAGATTCGCCTCTATGATCTCTTCTAGGGGTTTTATGGTTTTAGTTCTTGTATTTGCTGATCCACTCTAAGTTCAATTTTTTATATGTGATGTGACACACATTTTTCTTTAATTTTTAACATTGTGTTCTTTAATTCTTTAATCATATTTATAATAGCTACTTTGACGTTTCTGTCTGAGGAATCCAAACCCAACATCTGGGCCCACTGCACACCATTTGTTGTTGATTCAGTTTTCTTCCTTGCGTCTGGTTCATACTTGTCCCTTTATTTGTGTGTTTTGTCATTTTTTTTTTATTGAAAACTGAACAGTTAACTGCATTGGTTAGTTTTAGGCGTCAAATGGACTAGATTAAGGAAGGATTGGAGTGCCGGTGATTCCAGAAGAGATTAACATGTGATTTGGAGAGAAATAAGTCGGGGAAAATCTGCCCTTAATGTGGACAGACCGCCCAATTGACTGGGGTCCTGGAAAGAACAACACAGAAGGAGAAGTGCCCCTCTCCTTGGAGACTCGGACAGACTCCTGTGTTGTCGCTTTGACAGCAGACACCAGCCTCTCAGCTTTGGAGCCCAGGACTTACTCATTCACAGGGTCTGCATCAAATTACATTTTCATTCCTGGTGGGAATACAAGAGGGTGCAGACATCATGCAAAATAGTTTGGTATTCCCTCAAAACACTAAACAGAATTACCATAATACCCAGCAACTTCAATTTCCATATATATCTAAACTGAAATAATTTAAAACTGGTATTTAAGCAGATACACATACGTGCATGGTCAGGTACCAGCAGCGCCCTGGGCTCTTTGGATTTTGGCTTCAGATAGTTACCCCATTAGTTTCCTGGTTCTGAGGACTTCAGTCTTGAACTCATCCAGGAGACTGGCTTGCCGGTGAGCTGTTGTGGGACTTCTCAGCTGCCATCATCACGTGAGCCAATTCTGCTAATAAACACCCTGGCAGATATCTATAGACAAACCTCAGAGACACCGTGGGATTGGTTCCAGACCACTACAATAAAGCAAGTATCACAATAAAGTCGTTCCCCAATGAAGTCAAAATTATGTTTATATTATCCTGAAGTCTAATAAGTGCCCAACAGCATTATATCTAAAATAATAACATATGTATCTTAATTGACAATACCTTATTGCTAAAAGATGCAATGAGGTATTGTCAATTAAAGCTGTTTGGCAAATGGCACCAATAGCCTTGTTCCACACAGAATTCTGCAGACCTTCAATTTGTAAATAATGCACTATCTGCAGAACACATGAAAGTGAAGCACAATAAAATAAGGTATGCCTGCATATGTGTGTGTACATATATATGTAAGTATATATACACTTACATATATATGTACACACACACACACACACACACACGTATTTTCTGGAGAGCTCTAACACATACATTGTAACAATTCTACATTGTGGCATATCCCCTGAGCATTTCTTTTTAATAACTTAATCTGGACTTAATCTGTTAAATCTGTCATCTAAGCATGTATGCTTGTTGATGTGTCTGCTTAGTTTTTAAAATTCTTATTTTTTTTTAATTTTCAGCCCGGCTTACTAAAGTTTTTTTTTTTTTTAATGTGTTTGCATAGATTGGTAGTTGGACAATGACTTGGAAATTATTATGCTCAAGCAAATTTGGCTCATGAAGGTATCACTCTCTGCAGATGGATTTGCATGTGGGTTACAGAGTGTTCATGTGGTTTTCTAGATTTAGTCTCTTTGGGCTCTCTCTCTCTCTCTCTCTCTCTCCTTCTCTGTACCAGAGATGAACCCAGGAGAGTCTAACCACTGAGTCTCATTCCCAGAACTTTTTATTTATTTATTTTTATTTGAAGACAGGGTCTCACTAAGTTGCTTAGAGCTTTGATAAATTGTTGAGGCTGGCTTTGAACTTGCAATCCTCCTGCCTCAGCTTCCTTAGCTGCTGGGATCATGGGCGTGCACCACTGTGCCTGGCTTTCGGGTGGTCTTGAGTCTTCCCTGCACATGGCAGAGATTCTCTGGGCTGCCAGGATATGCAGATGGCATATTAACCCCGTCTCTGGTGCCCACATTAAATTCTGGTCCTTCCACCATTCACCCCAACTGGGACTGCTCCTTCCCATTAGCAGAACCCTGGGATTTTCCTGTTAATTTTTCTTGTGAGTTTGCAATGTCTCCCAACAGCACCACGAGGTGCGTGCTTTCCCTCCACTCCAGAACAGGTCAGCCTCCTTTGGCAGTCAAGATGCATTCCTTAGAGCGAGCCTTGTTCTGACACAGCTAGTGTGCAACTGAGCTTGGAGAAGGGGAGGGGGCAGCCCCAGGCAAGAAGGCGACTGACTCCCACCGTTTTGACTCAAAGTTCTAGCAGTTTTCAAAAATCAACACTTCTTTTTTTTTTTTTTAATTGCTTTTGGAGGCTGTAATGGGCTGAACGTCTCGGTCCCCTCAAAGTTCACCTATGTTCAAAGCCGAATCCCAAGAGGATGTTACTTGGAGGTGGGGCCTTCTGAGAGGTCATTATGTCGCGAGGATGAAGGCCCTTAGGAAAAGAGAGATCGGAAAGCCCTCTTTCCACCATGAGAGGACACCATGAGGCACTGCCAGTCTGCCACCTGGACGGGCGCCCCTCCTGCACCCTGACCACACCAGCAGCATCCTGTTCTGACTCCGGGACAGTGAGGTGCAGATTTCTGTTATTTCATAAGTCACTCCGTCGATGGCACTTTGTTAAAGGACCCTGAACAGACTAAGGCTGCCATCTCCCAGAGCCCTGGATGTTTATTTTTGACAATTTTGTGTCATCTTAGACCAGTTTTATGGGGAGAAGGGCTGTTGATCTCTTTTCCCCACCACGGTGGGAAATGCTGCCACCACAACAATTTTTCATTGTTATCGCTGTCCCCAAATGCTTCTTCCTCTGTCCCAACACTGTTTATCATAGGATTTATCCTTTTCCCACGGCAGTGCCTGCCCACACCCTGCCTGCCGTGGAACAGAACCCGAGGGTCTGAAAGGCCCTCTGAGCAGCCTGACATGACATGTGCAAGGTCTTGAGAAGGGCCAGGGGGTTGGGCTGGGGACAGATCATGCAGGGTCTTTAGAGCATGAAAGGAAGTTACATTAATGGTGCAGAGGGAAGCCCTTATGGGACGCCCACAGGGCAGCAGGGCAAGCTCATGTGGTGGTGCCTCACTCACTGCAGGAGGGAGGAGAGAGGTGGTGGGCCTCTAGACCAAGGTCCTGCTGATGAGCTAGACAGGGGGCAGAGGGGAAGGCAGGTGACGGGGTGGGCCATTCTGTCTACCTGCAGGTTCTGGTGAGCTCGGGTCTGCTTGGGTTTGAGTGGATAAGCCAAACCCACCCGGGGCGGCTTTCTTCGGGCTCATCTGTCCTGAGAAGAGAATGCAAGAGCGAGCGCCTCTGGAGGTGATTGACATGGGATGCGGAGCCCTTCATTGGGAATCCGGTGGCGTGGACGGTGAGGGGGGTGACGTGGAGCCTCTTGGTACGCAGAGCACACCAGGGCCAGGACGGGCCAGGAATGCAGCAGAAAAGGCGATCAGCGCCACGGGGAGACGCAGACAATTGACAGGACGTTATGGGCTGGACAGACACGTCAGGGTATTAAAGTGGGTGTCTGAGAAGCCAGAGAGTTGCAATCTGAAATGATGAATAAAGCCACTGCCAGTTGTCACGAGATGTGTGAGGAGCATGTGTGAGTGGAGAGGAGGCTGAACTGTGCTTCAGGGTGGAGGGTGCTGGCAGCGGGGTGGTGGGGGGAGGGATGGTGGCCCTGGACCAGGCTGTCCTGCAGCTGGGAAAGGAACCGGCACCCCCTCCAGTCCCAGGCTGGCTACCTTCCTGCTCACAGGGTGAATGAGCTGGCTGGCCCAGAAGGTCCTTCAGGGTAGCTTTGGGAATTGTTCCCCAAGACTCTTGCTCCCTGGTGTATGCACCCGACGTGAGCCCTTCCCCTCGAGTGTGGGTAAGACCTGGGAATGCGCTGTGAAGCCCAGCAAAAGCAAAAGGGGGTTCTGAAGACATGGTTCACGTCCCAAAACAGTTGATTTTGAGTTAACCTAGCTAGAGATTGCTCTTGGTGGGCCTGACCTAACCAGGTGAGCCTTTTAGAGTAGCATCTAGAGGTCAGGGAGTTGACAATAGAGATAGTCTCCTGTTGGTCTTGAAGACGCAAACTGCCACACTGTGGACAGGGCCATGGGGTGGGAAACCGTGGTGCGTTTTAGGAGCTGAGAGCCCCAGGGTTCCGATTCTGCCAACACCCATCTGAGAAGTCTGGCCTCAGGTGACGTCACAACCTTGCTGATGACTGGATTGTAGCCTGGTGAGCCCCTGAGCAGAGGACCCAGGCTCAGACTCCTGACCCACTATGAGGTCATACGTCGGGGGTGTATGAAGCCACTAAGAGCTTGGTAACTTTTTATGCAGCACCAGGCAACTCGCATAAGCAGAGACCTCGCCTGGGCGTTCTTTGGTGCATCTCAGTGGCAGCACAGGGTCTCGTCCCTGGTAGGTGTTCAATAAATGTTCAGTGAGAAGATGAATGGACAAATGATGGATACATAAAGAAGTGTTTGTTTTTTTAACCTGTGCCCTGAAAAACCACAGGGTCCTAGCTGTCTTCAGCTCAGAGGGAGGCTCGATTGTTGGGATTCCTTACCAACAGTGTTGCACTTGCCTCTGTTCAGCAGGAGGAAGGCTGAGGAGCGTGAGCTCGCAGTGGTGCATCAAGTTGGCTCTATGACTTAAGAGAGGCACACCTGGCTGCCTTGGGGACACATCTCAAGATGTTCTGCCCCTTCCATTCCATTCCATTCCATTCCATTCCATTCCATTCCATTCCATTCCATTCCATTCCATTCCATTCCATTCCATTCCATTCAGTTCAGCTCAGAGCTCCATCTGGGGACACAGAACAATGGCACCAGGCCTGGTGGGGAGAGTTTCCTAGGAGCCTTGTGTATGGGGAGAAGATAAGGATCCTGATTCTCCTGGGAGACACCTCAAACCCCGCAGTGGCCTCTCAGTACCTTTGGATGAAGTCCAAACCCTTCCACAGGCCTGAGCCCCGGCCCTTGGTTTTGACTTCATTTTTTGCAGGTGGCCCCTTCTCTCCCGCAGCTCTGGCTCCCCCCTCTTCCCTCCAGCTCTTCTCATGGATACAGAGGCCTTTTGCACCTTCACCTCCTTAGAGAGACCTTCTCTGTCTTCTGGGTCTGAAGAAGCCAGAAGCCCACTCACCACAGGCCTCTCCCTGCGGTCACCTGTTTTGTCTCCTTTGGGACAATTGTCAGCAGCTGAGGCAATCTGCCTTGCGTGGTTGCATCCTCATCATTGCTGTCAGCTGCTGGAACTTGAACTTGAGCCCGTCTCACTCCTTGCTGTGTACCCAGCATCTCAGCACCATGTGCAGGGCATGTGTTTATTCATTGATTCTTTTGGGTGCTGGGGATTGAACTTGCGGTCTTGTAGATGCTAAGCTAAGCTTGCTCTCTACCAGTGAGCCACACCCTCAGCCTCTGTTTAAAAACAAACAAAAAATGTCCTCTGTCCATGATTTCAGAGGAGATGAAAGAGAGAGCACGACATAGTTAGCCACAAGCCAGAGACCAGGTGGAGTTCTATGTTCCCAAGGTCATTGGGGGCCATCCCTACTGAGTCCCTGTTCATGACACGGTAAGAAGCTGTGGGGAAACTAGCTGAGACCCCCCACAGTGGCTCCATAAGATAAAATGAACTCTTTATTCAACATTTATAATGTTGGTGCACACCTGTAATCCCAGCAGGTTGGGAGGATCCCAAGTTCAAAGACAGGCTCAGCAACTTAGCAAGGCCCTCAGCAACAGGGCAGGACCCTAAGTAAACTATAAAAAGGGATGGAGATATGGGTAAATGGTTAAGCACCTCTGAGTTCAATCCCTGGTACCAGACAAACAAACAAAACCAAAAAAACAAAACAAAACAAAACAAAAACCAAACAAACGAACAAACCCCTCAAAACCTCAAAACAAAACTCTAGCAGAGAGTCTCAGGCTCTTCAGAGTTTAAATGTGTTTGCCAACAATTTTGAGACCATAAAGTTATAGGACAACCAATGATTTGGCTAGTCATTTAGAATTCATTACAAAGAGATTTAATTTGAACAAAAAGAAATGGTATTACTCCTGGCTTTCAAGAGCTTTGGGATATAACAGATGAAATGGAACAACAATGAAACATGTTTCAGGAAAAACTTGGGACTTATGCTACTGATAACCATGCCAAGTGGCAGACACTTTGTTTTGTGGCCATGTTCTTGGATATTCCCATAGAGGGTCAACATTTTAGATATTGAAATAAATATAGGAGTGATATTTGATATTTTTCATAACCAGATGTATCAGAGAGGAAAACAGGGTCACTCTGGATACATCAAATAGGAAGCCTGTTAACAGAGGTGATGTGACTCTCCCAAAACCATCAGAGTATGAAGGTCAGGGATACGGCTGTGGTTCTCAGGCACTCACTGGCTTTCAGGGACATGGGACTTGGCTGAAACCACCGTGATAACTACAGTTGCCTCCAGATCATGGCTGGGAACTTTGAAGGCTGCTGCAAACAATCCCTTCTGTAGCACATGGCTTTACCTCCTCAGAGGCTTCTGACTTCCATCTGCTGGGCAAGGTCCTGTCCTTGGTATATTCCAAGAGGTTCTAGAAAGTGTCGCTTCCAGATTCCTAGCTCCTGTGATATGAGGGAGAACGTAGAAGAGGCAATGAGGTGAATGAATCTCAGAGTCCAGGCAGCCGCAGGGCCTCCATGATGATCCGGTGTGCTTTTTGTCACAGAGAATGCAGTGAACCTCAGTCATCTTCAGTCTCACAGTGACAAAGGGCCCAGGGCAGCCAGTGTCAACACCGCTGAAACACCATGGAGACCAGAGTCCAGGGGGAGGGCGTGTGACCCCTCTGAAGTGGCAGAGGAAGAGCAGAGTCTAGGTCTCTTGGCTTCGGTCTTAACCTTTTTCCTTGTCCCCAAGAGTCTTCCTGTCATGATAGTGGGAAAAGAGTCTGCAGTCACAGCGAGACAAGCAACAACGGGGATAAGAACCAGGTCTGAACGGAGATGGCCGGCACACGTGAAGGTGGCCTTGTGAACCCTTATGGCAACTGGGGAGTTCCAGAGACACTGCTCCCTGGTTGCCTTGGGCTCCTCCTCTGGGGTCAGGTACCTCCCTTGAGTGGGAAAGGATGAACAGCCACTCCCGATAGACAGCTGCCCCAAGTCAGGCAGGGAAAGGGCATTTTGGAGGCAGAGTCTCTAGTCACCTACTACAACTGGGAAGCTGCTTTATCGTCTTGGGCTCCAGTTTTAAAAAAAAGTCGTGCCAAGTTTACATCGTTATCAACATGGGCATCTGCTTTGCTGTAGAAGTTAAGGTTTGAGTCTCGTAGAGTACAAACTGAATTCTAGACAGACAGACATGCCCCTTTCACCCCGTGGCTTTATCCTGTGCTCCTCTCCTGGCTCTAGAACCCCCCTCAGCCCCCAGAGGAGAGATTCCTCCAGTGTGAGACTACGGAGGGCATGGGGTCACAAGATGACCCAGGACTGGACCTGAGCCTCCCTCCATCAAGGTTTGCAGCAGCCCTGGACTAAGGCTGAGCCTGTGACTTTTCAGGAGAGTGGTTGTATTGGTCAGAGCTCCAGGAAAACAGAATCAAATGTATGTGGAAGTGGCCCGTGTGATTATGGGGGCTGACGAGTCCAAAACCTGCCGAGTCCCTGTCTCAGTTTGAGCCAGGACGTGCTGACGCTCTAGCCTGGAGGCTGTGACAGGAGAATTCTCTCACCCAGAGAATAGCCAACCTTTTGTTCTATTCAGGCCTTCGACTGATGGGATTAGGCCCTCCCACTTTAGGGAGGGTGGTCTGCTTTACTCAATCACTAATAAATGTTCCTCTTACCCAGAAACACCCTCATAGGCACACCCAGAATAATGCTTAACCAACTATCTGGGCACCCTGTGGCCCAGTCAAATTGGCACTTAAAATTAACAATTGCAACACTGTTTAGAGTAGGAATTAGACAGGTGAAGAGTTTTCTCTGGATGGCCACTGAGTTTTTCCTTCTTTCCTTCTTTCTTTCTGTACTGGGGATTGAATCCAGATAATTTACCATGGAGCTGCATCCCCAGACCTTTTATTCTGAGACAGGATTTCACTAAGTTGCAGAGGCTGACCTTGAACTTGCCATCCTCCTTCCTCAGGCTCCCGTGTTGCTGGTATTCTATGCATGCCCCACTGCTCCTGGGTGGGTTTTTTTCTTTGACTGAGTTCTACGGCCTCAGCCGTGTCATGAGATGAAGGTGGTGAGGTCCATTAAATGACATCCATTTTTCTAAAACATCCCTCGCCTGACTTGGTGAGCGGTGGTAGCTGCTTCAGAGGGGTGTTTGTAAATCTCTCCTCTGTTCAGGTGGATCAAACCTGGTCTATACCTTGGTCTGGGTGAGGGATCATAAGTTGAAGATCAGTTCTGAGCATGAAGACAGTTCTCTGCAAACTCTGATGGATTTCCCTTCTCAGGTCCAAAAGCAAAACTCCCCTGACCTTGACCAAGTCCTGGGCTGTACCTCTTCCCACCCCAGTTAGGTCTGGCTCCCATCTGTAGCTCGGCAATGGGAGCCAAACACTGTGTACTAGCTGAACCTCACAAACACAGGGAAAGGAACAAGCTTGGGGTCCAGCTTGACCGTCTGACTCAAGAAACTAATTACCGTCATTCCTCAGTATCCTTGGGGGATTGGTTCCAGGACCCCCCACAGGTACCCAAATCTGTGGATGTTCAAGTTCCATATATATAATGGTGCATTATTTGCATATAACATACACAGTCTTCCTGTATACGTTAAGTAATTTCTAGATTACTTATAATACCTTTTACAATATAAATGCTACACGAGTAGTTATTATACGATATTGCTTAGGGAATAGTGACAAGAAAAAAATAGGCTGTGTGTGTTCAGTGCAGATGCAACTCTTTTCTTTGAATACAGCATTTTTGGTCTGAGTTTGGTTGACTTTACAGATGCAGAACTTTCAGAGGCAGAGTACCAAGTGTACCTGAGGGATATGTATCAATAAACACAGCATAATCCAACTGATCTATTTCCCTCCCTCCCTCTTTCCGTCCCTCATTCTCTCTCTCTCTCTTTCTCTCTTTCCCCAGCAAGGAGAAAGGATGTTTCTTTCAACCTCAACTGTTAGGATTTCGGCCACACACAGAGCTGGATTTTAATTCTCTCCTCGTACTTCATAATAGCAGCTGGTTGGGAAAGAAAACATCTTCCATTTAGATAAATATGCAAAAAAAAAGGGTCAAAATTAATAACCAGAAAGATACACTCATTTTATTATAATATTTCTGAAGCAAAACAAAGCACAGGCTTCATAAAAACCAGGTCTATGTGGCAGAAATGTGGAAAAGACCAGCAAGGGTGGTGGGGGGGAGGGGGGCGGAAAGGCCTTCAGGGGCCAGCGAGGCAGGGTGTGGGCTGAGTCCTGGGGTTGGGGCTGGACGTGGACACCCACCTTACTGTTTTTTCATGAATGGCTCCGTCACTGGCCTCACAGGGGGGGTCTAGTCTGAAAAATTGCCTGAGCTGAGCCTTCCCAGGTACAACCAGACCTTGGTACCACTGTGGCTCCATCCCACCTTCCAGGGAAGGTGGAATGAGGGCCCACGAGTTTGCTGATTGCTCAGAAGGTTCCTGAAGCTCATGACCTCCTGCATGTCCAGCCACCCCTTGGCGACGACTCTCCACTGCTGGTTTCTGCCAATATGTCTCAGGTCCATCCTCTGCCTAGGCCACCTCACTGACACAAGTGTCCGCTATATACCACGTCTTTGAGCAGCGACGCATCTGTCTCGATTCATTTGAATCCAACAACAACCCAATGAAAACAGTGAAGCATGAAGGGGGTCCGGTGTCAGCAGGCTGGAGAGAGCTGAGCCCCAAATCCAAGCCTTTGGGCTCTGATGAGAGGTGACCATCTACTGGGTGAGGGGCAGAGGCTTCACATGAACTTAAATAATAATTAGAAACCAGGGAAATCTCAACACGGCATTAAAACTTTGCAGTAGAGTTGAGATAATTGTCTTTTAAAAATGGCTACTTCAAATGCACAGGATAACGATGACCGTCATAGGACAACGACACGATTTATGGAAATGTGACGCCAAGATGCTTGTTCTCAGGGATGTGTCCAGGGATGCCCTCCGGCTAGCAGGTGCTTGAGGAACACCTTGGCCTTCCATCGCTGTTCGTGTGCTTCCATAACCCTGTGCGTCCTCTTGGGGAGGTAAGTGGGAAACTCCTGCTCCTGGCACATGGGACATAGTTGCACACCCTGGACACACTGCTGCTTTTGCTTGCCGATGGCGTGTGCGCACACTCAGGGTAACTAGTCAGCTGGCTGAGTGCGTGGTGGGGGGAGCCCTCAGGCCAGGCCAGTGCAGACTTGTCATTTAGAAAAAAGCCCTCAGAGTTGAGATCCTGTGCTTATCTGTAAGGGAGAACTTTGGGGGTATCAGCTGGCTTTCCATTTCCATAGCATATCTCTGAGATAATCGACTTAGAAAGAGAAAAGGTGGCTTTTTGGAGAGCAATTGCCCAGTCTGCGAATGCCACCCCAGGAGGGAGAGCTGCTCTCTGCCTTCTCTTCCATCCACTGTTGCGGCCAATGAAGGCTGTTTTTACTATTAAAGAGAGAGAGAGAGAGAGAGAGAGAGAGAGAGAGAGAGAGAGAAGGCTATTTTGGCTCACTGTATTGGATATTCCAGTCCACAACTGGGGGGACCTATGACTTAGGCCTCTGGCCAGCACACAGGGGCAGCAGCACGTGGTAGAGCAAAGTGTTCACATCATGGATGAGAAGTGAGAAAGGGAAAGATGCAAAGCTCTGGGTCCCACATTCCCCTTCAAAGACTGTTATGGTTTGGAGACGAGGTGTCCCCCAAAAAGTTCATGTGTGAGACAATGTGAGGTTTGAAGGAGAAATAATTGCGTAATAGCCTTAACCTAATCAGTGAATTACTCCCAGATGGATTAACTGAGTGGTGACTGGAGGCAGGTGGGGTGTGGCTGGAAGAAGTGCTTCATTGGGGGCGTGGCTATGAGGTACATATATTTTGTATCTGGAGGGTGGAGTCTCTCTCCCTGCTTCCTGATCATTCTGTGAGCTGCTCCCTTCCACCACCCTCTCCTGCCAAGATGTCCAGCCTCCCCTCAAGCCCTGCGGAATGGAGCCGGCCTTCTATGGACTAAAACCTCTGAAACTTTTCCTCCTTTTCTCCTCTAGCGCCATTGTGCTGGTTGGGTCCTTTAGTCACAGCGGCAAAAAAGCTCACAACTACAAAGCCACACCCCCCAGTGACTAGAAGACCTCTTAAAATTTCCACTCCCTCATCAGTAGCATCACTCCATAGAGAAAAAGCATGCAGGCCTTTGGATGATGCTTAAGATCCAAGCCAGGAATTCAGTCAGTCATCGTCCCCCTCCTCAGAGGGAGAACTGTCTGCACCGACACTTCTGATGGAAGAACACCCTCAACATGAGCAAGAGAAACCCAAACCAGAGGCTTCCAGAGCCTGGAGGTCACAGGGAAGAGGAGGTGGGAGAGCCTTGGTGCTGGTCCCTGGAGGACTGGACTCTGGGTCTTCCTGGGCTCCGGGTCTTCCTGGGCTCCAATGAGCATCAGGGGGTGTTTGTAAACGTCAGGCTGCAGTGGTCTCTCCTTAGGGGAGAGGTGCTGGCAGGAACTTGTACGCTTCTTCCAGGGCTGATTTTCTTACAGGGGAAATCATGGGCCTCCAGGGCGTGGCCATCTCCAGCTCAGCAGAAAGCCTTCAAGGGCTGAGAGTAAGTGAGCTGGAACCATGAGGGGACCCTCGGTTGAGACGACAGGAGGCCCTTGTGCACTGGGGCCACAGAGCTCAGACTGGCTAGTGGAATGAGTGACCTCAGTATTCGACTTGTCCACACGGAGACGAGGAAGACTGTTGGGGGGGGGGAGGTGGTAGGAATTAAACTTTAGAGATTCAAGTGTTTGATGCCTGTCACTTTGGTGAGGGGTCAGAATCGGCTGCTGGAGGACTGCTCTGGGATAAAGTCAAGTTTAGAGATCCTCAACACGTAGGTTGGTCATACCTTGCAAGGAGTGATATATTATCTGCATTCAGCAGATGAGGGAACCAAACCTCAGAGATGTTAAGTAATGATGATGATGTTTCACTCAGAGGAAGCAGTGATGTCGGAATCAGACTGGGGTCCGGGTGATTCCTAATCTGCTCTCCTTACCCGCTGGACCACCGGTTTACCGACATAGTGCCGCTGCCCACTTGGAACAGGTCACACTGTTCCCCACCGTGAATCCTCAGCCTCTGTTGACTCTTTTTGCTTTATCTAGGGGCTGCTTATGACCAGCAAGAAAACACAGTGGATATGATGGGGAGGGCTCTTTTGAAGGTTAATTGAAGGTGTCAAATTGGATTGGATGGAGAGGTACCTAGATAGCTGGTAAAGGGCTATTTCTGAGTATGTCTTTGGAGAAGATTGTCATGTGAGTTGGTGAACAGAGAGGGGAAGGCCTACCCTCAGTGGGTGTGGCACCATTTAGCTGACTGGTGGTCCAGACAGAACAAAAAAGGCAAAAGAAGGGCAGATTTGCTCTCTATGTCCTGGATCTGGGATACCCTTCTAACCCTGCCCTTGGCCATTAGAATTCCACATTCTCCAGTCTTCAGCCTTGGACTAGGGGTGACATCATTGGTTTCTCTGCTTCTGAGGCTTTTGGATTTGGACTGAGCCATGCTACCAGCAAACTTGGGTCTCCAGACTACAGGCAGCCTATTGTGGAACTTCTAAGCCTCCAAAGTTGTATAAACCAATTTTCCTAGTAAATCCACTCATCTATCTATCCATCCATCCACTCACCCACCCACTCACCTGTCTATCCACTCGTCTACCTGCCTACCTACGTACCTATCACCATCTTACCCTGTTTGTTCTGTCCCTGGAGAACCCTGATTAATATAGCTTCCTTGGCCTACAGTAGTGAATCCATAAGTGCCATCCTAGATCCTTAACTCAGCATCACTTGGAAGCCATGAGAAATGCAAATTCTTAGACTTCACCCCAAAACCTACTGAATGGGGCACTCTAGGGGTGAGGCTTTAACAAGCCCTCCAGGTGACAATTTGAAAATCATCAACCAACTAGAATCCCAAATTGCCCTCCGCCCTCTCCCAGCTGTCTGCAGCGCCCTCTTCTGTCTGCACTGGCAGTTCTGCTCCAGGCAGGGGCAGGTGGCAGAGGCTTACTCTGCGGGGGCTCTGTAGCTGGGCAGCCATGGTGTCGGGGGAGTGTCAATTGCACAATGGCCTGGCAAGTGGCTGTGGGTCAATTCGAGAGCTGTCGCAGGGTCGATAACACTGCCACTGAGCAAATGTGATGCTCAATTTCCTTGGCTCTGGTCAGTGGCCAGTGTGGGAAATGAGCGCAAGAAAATAGGACACTCTCTGTCTTGTTCCTTTCTTTCTCCTGTCACAGAGATCCCAAGCCAAGGAAAAGAGTCAGGCTTGATTGTGGTGGTCAGAGATCCCCCCTGTCACCAGAAAGTACAGCTGCTTAATCATTTAGGGTGCTGAAGACATTTATCTTGCAGGGGTGAGTGGGGAGCTCCAAATTAAAAGTGGAAGAGAGAGAGAAAGAGACCCACCTCCTTTGGCCACACCCTACCTGCCTAGAGTCCCATCTGGTTAATCCCAATCAGTGGATTAATACACTAACTATGTCCAATTTCTCATAAACCAGTCATCTCACCTCTAAACTTTCTTTCATTTTCTCAAACATGAGTTTTGGGTGGGGGGCGGGGACACTTTATGTCTAAGCCATAGCAATTTGTTAAGGCTGGCCTTGAACTTGAGAATTCTCCCTGAGTCATCGGGATTATAGGTGTGTGCCACTGTGCCTGGCTGGGATTCTTTGAGAGCGACATAAAAGTTGCAAAGATAATACTGAATGTTGCCAGGTACCCCTTACCTAGTTTCCCTAATATGGGCCACTCCCATTACCAGGATACATTTATCAAAACTAAGAAACCACATTTACATGTTCTTGTTACTCAGCTCCTGACTTCATCATCTGCTTTTCCATGAATGCCCTTGTTTTGTCCCAGAATCTAGTTCCAGACACCATACCAATTGTAGCCATCATCACTCCTGAGACTGCCCTGGTCTGTGATGGTTTCTTGTGTTTTTCAAGTTATGTTTGATAAAATCAGGAAGTAAACCTAGAACAATCGGATATTTTTTCCCAAAAGGCAATGTAGACTTGTGTTGAATTTTCTTATTTTTACACGTTGTCTCCTACAGGCTGAGCATCCCTAATCCAAAAATCTGAAATCTGAAAGGCTCCCAAATCCAAAACCTTTTGAATGCATCATGACATCACATGTGGAAAATTCCACAGGATGAAAACTTTTAATTTCATTTTTAAAAATTGCCTTTAGGCCATGTGCATACTGTGTGTAGGAAACACAAACACTTTGTGTTTAGACTTGGGTCTTATCCCCCAAATGTCTCTTTATTCATATGCAAATATTCCAAAATTCAAAAAAGAATCTGAGGCCCCAAACACATCTGGTTGTAAGCATTTTGGGTAAGGGACACACCATATGATTGTCAGATACTCCTGGGTAGCACTGCGTCATCCCACATAACATCTGGGAGATGCTATTTTACATCAAGGGTATAGGATGCCACCCACGGAGGTTGGTCAATAAAGGCTTGGTAATGACAACGAAAATATTTTAAAAAACATATACTCTATGTGTGTCAGACCAAACCCATCTGTGAGCCCTGCCCAGCCATGTGACTTTGGACCCTGTGGGGCCATTAGACATTTAAGACAATGCATTTGGTTAGATCAACTCCCTCCACCCCCACCCCTCGCGGTGCTGGGAATTGAACCCAGGGTCTTCCTTGTTCGTGCTAGGCAAGTATTCTACTGGACAGTGCATTTGAAAAGAAGCCAACCATTCGTTTCTGTGTACTTTTGTTTTGATCTACTACTATTTACTGTTTAATCACATTGCTTGATCTGTAACCTTTTCCCACAGAGTTGCTGGCTTTATCTGACCTGGTAACCTTGATCAGGAAAACTCTGCAGAGATTCTTTCCCCCCAGACACTTGGACTGAGCAAGTGTCTACCAGGTTTGTAATGAACTTCAATCCCAAAGGGCAGGAGTCTATTTGGAAAATGATCCTGTCTATAACTGACTTACTTGACATATCTTTCCTATGTATATATATATGAAGACACTACACAGTGAACCTCCACGTCATATATATTCACAAGACCAGGAACTTAATTAGAAGAAGATATACTCCCTGTTTGCATAAATATGTCAAAATTGACTCTCTAGTCCTATATAGCTAAAAAGAACAAATTAAAAAAAAATCATAAAACAAATAAAAGACCCTGGATTTAAGAAAGGAAAATATCCACGAAACGTTAGTGACAAGTTTTCAAAGCGGACAGTCGGCTCTCACTGGCAAGAGTTGGCACGAACATGTCCAGCACACCAGCCCCCTGTTACAAAGGTGTTAGGAAACGTGGTGACCTTGGCAGATCTTTCAACCATTGTCCTGCTGTCCCTTTTACAGATCAGGACACAGAAACACAGGGAGATTAAATCACTTGCTCAAGAGCATGTAGCAATCTCTGTCCCCAAGCATCTGGGTTAGGACCCCGCACTCCTGTCTCTTGCTACAGTGGGGAAGTTTGCTGTTGCTAAGAGGCAGTCATGGATCCTCCCAGGAGAGCATGTGGGTGTCATTTGGGGGAAAGTGGAGGATTTAAGGGATTTCTAAGTTTTTGTCTCTGTTGCTCCCAGGTTTAACGGCATGATACCCAGGTGGAGTTCCAGAAATTTGGATTTCTGTCTTTGGGGTCAACAGGATCAACCAAAGGGCAGAGAAAAACACCAAACTCTGTTTCCACAAACAACTGGCCTCTAGAGTCATCCCTATCAGTCGATTTCTGTTTCCTATTGTGATTTCTTGGGGCCAAGGCCAGGGACAAACTTTGTACTTGTGGTCACATGACACATCCCGGCAGAGCCCTGCAGCTGTTTGAAAACCCCTGGCTGCTCTGGGGGACAGAGATGCCCACGCCTGCGGGATTTGGTCTGAAGCCTGGTTGGTTGTATGATGCTCTGTGTGGCTTGGGGAGCTTCACAGTTGCCACGTTCCTAGGCCTTGTGGCACGCTTTAGAACTGTTCCACTTGTTTTTCCCACCTTATCTACATAAACAACATAACTTTGTCAGAAAATTGAAAATGTGCACTTTGTCCCATCAGCTAAAATGGGCTGTCAGATAAGGCTTTTTTAAATTTTTTTTCGTCCTCCAATCGCATCCGATGAATGATGTAAATGGTTTTTGGCTTTGGAGTTTCTCTCTCTCTCTCTCTCTTTTTTTTTTAGCCAGGCACTAGAGTAAATGATCAGAGTGGTAACATTTTTAACCTTATCTATCATACTGAAACATTTTTTCTGCCTCCAATAAAACATGTCAGAGTCGATTAAGGACATTTTTCAATGAGGTATAATTCACAGATTTTAGTAGTGAATCCAAGAGCACTGAAGTATTAAAGAGGCTGTGAATACTTAATTACGGATATGTTACCGTTCTACCTTTGCTTGAATTCCCTTAACGCTTTGGAGCTCTATTCTGAAAATGCGCGTGGTGTCTGATGGCGGGGGTCGAAGGAGTAGCAGGTACGATGGCCGGGGATGTGTCACATTGTATCTGGTGACAGGGCTGTGAAAGATACGGCAGCTCAGTACGTTTGGCGGTGCTTATCTGGTACATGAGTGCACATTACTTCCCAAAGCCTGGGATCACTTTGGACAGTATCATTAAATGCCACGTCATTACCTGTTATAGAGCAGTGCTTTAGCTTCAAGGGCCTCTTGGGACACGTGCAACAGTCGGAAGAATGATGGGCAAAGATGGAGCCGGCATTAAATTTTCAATGGAAGCAGTATTGGCTTTGACTTTTCAGAAGCCTTATCTGTTAGATGGTGTTTGTCACTGGGCCGCGGAGCTGTGGATGTTCGTCAGTTGGAAGTTGCAGGCAGTTGAACGATATGGACAGGTGAAGGCTCCGTGGGGACCAGCCCGGCTCGCGGAGAGCTGGAGGGGGTAAATTGAAGGTTTATTTATCCCATTCGCTGTCAAGGTCAGCTTGCTAGAGAGCTGTCCTATGGATGCTTACAAATGCCAAAATCCTGGCAAATTGTCGGAAAGAGCCTCCAAATCACTGACCTTTGTACAGTTCCTATCAACGTGCCCGTGTCTCTGAACGGGGTCCTTAGAGGGAGTTAAATGGTTGGTAAAATGAGGCTTAGGCTGTTGCTGTAATGTCAGTGGAGCTGCTATGTATTTTTTACTTTTGTGTTTTCAGCAACGAGGATGAAGTCAAAGATGTGACTGGTGAAAGAAGGGGAGGGGGCGATGGTGCAGAATAATTATGCTGGCGTGGGGTTTTGGCAAAAGGAGTTGGATCTGAATTTCTACATTGGAACGTATTTCAAGCCTGAAGTCTGAGATGTTTCCATCTCTCTCCATTGTTAAGTTCCTGTTGGAAAGAGGCATTCCTCCATTCTTTTTGTCATTTCCCCTTCCTCACCCAGGGCCCCGGATGTAGCTGAGGGTCTCACAGGGCTGGCTGTTCTGATTGATGTGTTCTCTTACAGCGACAATAGCTGACTTTGCCATGACAGCTAATTTAAGGATGCAGGACAGAGCTGATCATATGGCCTTCTGCTCCTTTTGTTGAGGGTGGGAATTTGCTAAGCCACGTTGCAGTGACAGTCACACAGTGTGGAGGTCATTGCCCAGCAATTGGGGAATGCTGCGCCCTGGAATATTATACATCCATTAAAAAGAACCTACTGGCCTGTACCTTTTGACTTGGAGAGAGATCTGTGAGATCCTAGGGAAGAAAAGTGTGTGAATGCTGTGAGCAGATGTTGCAAAAGAATAAAACCACCTTCCACCGGGGTGGCCAGATCTAATACAGAATACTCAATGAATTGCATTTGAATTTCAGACAAAGAAGAAAGAATCTAAAAATAAGTTTGAAAAATCATTTGTTGTTTATCTGAAATTCAAACTCAACTGGATGCCCTGTATTTTTACTTCTGATATCTGGCACCTCTCTCCCTTTCCCCAAGTGTTCGATGTCTGTGCGCATACATGTGTCTGTGTGGATATACACGTATTTGTACGTGGTTAGTGAGGCAGGGAGAAAATAAAGGAGGCCTCCCAGATAATTAGAAGAAGATTTGCTGGAAGAGGCTGTATAGGGATTGATAGAGTGTGTGGGTGGAGGAAGCAGGTGGAATGAGGGGGAGGAAGAAGAAAACCAAAAAAAACAAACAAAAGGAGAAGTCCACCCTTGGCAGGTCACTTGTCCCCTTGTTGACTCCACAAAACAATTTTTCCAGATTTCCGGTGTCAGGGTTGGGCGTGAAGGATCCCGGGGAGAGGTGGCTGGGGGCCCTGGCTCTCGGGAGTTCCCCTTCCAGTGGGGAAGGCTGGCAGACAAGCAGGTCACTGCAGGGCGTCTCCTCGGGGGGGTGGGGGGGACTGCTGGGGACCCTGCGGGGCTCAGGGCTGGCAAGGGGAATCTGTGCTGGACAATCAGTGGTGCCTCCCATGTCGCTGGTTTAGAGTCAAAACCTAAAGGTGGCTTCTCACAGGCCTGGTGTTTACTCTCTGGGGAATTCCTCTCGGTCTAATTTTCTTCTTCTCACCCAGGAGCTTGGGAATGATGAAGACAGCCTTGCAGTGGGCACCGGGGGACTTGGTGGAGGGTCAGCGGGGGGCTAGCCTTGGCAAAACCGTGTTCTTTCCGTTGAACACGGAAGGCAGATGCTGAGGAGTTGTGTGCATCCACAATTTACAAGACCATTTCAAAACCCCCCTTCTTATTTCCAGATTCAATTAAAGAGCCGTTAATACGTCCCAGGTTTGCTGTAATGAGCCCATAACTGAAACTGACATCATTATCAATCCCAACAAAGCACAGACGCTTCATCTTTTGCTTCCTTCGGGAAACACCCGACTTCCCCGGGTCCCAGCCCTGTCCCTGGCCGGGAGGATGCTGGGAGGCTTGTCTGCCTGCCTGTCTCTTTCTTTTGCAAATCCAAAGGGCTCTGCAGAGGGCCGCCTTTTCTTCCTGCCCCTTCCTGCTCCCTTTGGCCAAAGGAGGTTTTTGGCAATTGCCGTTCTAGAATGTTCCTTTTAGGGCCAACTTCCCTTTGCAAATTCCTTTTTAGGAATTCCTTTCAGGAAACCTGGTCAATGGGAATTTTCTGTGTGGTGATGGGACCCAAATCTCTTATTAGCCCGAGTATCAGCTTCTCATAATGCAAACTTTGCAAGGCTCTGACATCCACCCTTCTGGAATGAGGAAGAAACAGGCCAAGAAGGAGAAGAGGGAGGAGGATCATGGGGTAAAGGGGAACAGAGGGAATGAGAGTCAAAAGACATAGTATGTCACTGTATGTCCAACCTCTGCAAAGCTGGTGGGAGCTCCAAGACCTGGGTTTAAAACTTTTTCAGAGCAGCTGAAAAGTGGTTCGCAAACTCTTCACTCAAAAGGTCTCCCTGTGAGCTCACCCACAGGTAACCCAGAAACTTCTACTCCTAAGCCACAGGGTGACCCCTGTCTCTGCCTCCTGGGTCTTGGTTAAAAGGTGGCTTCTCTTATTGTGTGCCTCTCTGACTCCGGGACCCCCTCCCTTCTTTATAGGACCTAGATGTTTGAGTCGTGCCGAACCCTCTGTGTGCACTGGAAATCCAGCCCTTAGTGCTCACCAGCATGGGGGAGTAGGCCGGTTCTGACGAGGTTATGAGACTGAAACGGGCCGCGGAGGGCTGGCATTTCCTACATGGAGGAGGGCTGAGGCAGTGGCTAGGGAGCACACGTCGGCCCTGACTGAGGAGTGCCGAGGCTCTCTTTAGGAAACCTGATAGCCTCTTTCCAAAACCCATTTTCTAAAAAGGATCCGATCCCTGGATCCCTGGATGCAAGACCCCCTCCCCGCGAAGCTGGGGCAGAGCCTACTTCAGCACTTCTGACAGAATGACTACCAATTTCCTGTCATCTCTTCCATCAACTGCCCGGTCCTGGTGTCTCAGCGACCCAGCTGGGTGCGAGTCTGGAGACCTTGATTGCAGCTCACCATCTCAAAGTGGAAAATGACCAGAGATTTCTCGCAGAGTTCATCAGCTTTGCCCCGGCCGATTTGCAGCAATCTGAGCTACATTTCTCAGGCTGCTTCAGAAACTCCTGGAGAGGCTGTGGAGCCACGCATTCTGGTGACCTGTGCCCAGTCCACACAGAGGCCAAGTGTGCCCCCCCTTCTCTCTCCTCTCCCTCCCTGCCCTTGGAGGGCATGGCCATGTCTTCTGTCCCTCACTTACCCACCAGGTAGTAGTTAGCTGTTGAGGGTTTCCTGGGAGCAGACATGGTCCCAGCATCGGTAGATGCTGAACAAAACAGCTAAAGCATTTGGTTTTCACGGAGGTGATATGATTTAGGAGAGCGGATGATGCACATGTGCACAAATACATAAGATCATTTCAGGGAGCAGGAAGTGCTACAGTGAAAACCCCTTAAGGGGAACATCATCTCTATGTAGGTCTTTGAGTCCAAAGTGCAAGTCCAAGGGAACCCATGGAGGGAAGGCCAAAGAAGGAGCATTTCCAACACGGGAGGGACTCTGCAGAGGCCCTGTGCAGAGAGGAGCAGGCATGATGGACACTTTGGGAACCCTGAAGCTTGTGGTTGCAGATGAGCTGGGGAGGCCTGGAGAGCTGGGTGTGCAGGCCCTGGTACGTGGAGCTCCTTGTCTGATTTCACTCTCAGCCTCATCGCCCACGGAAGCCCAAAGACGGCAGCTTTCTCTTGTCCTGCGCGGGCCCGTGCTGCTCTGTTGCCTGGAGTGCTCCCCCTCTTCTTTGCCTCTTGATATTTTGCTCATCCGAAATGTCCCGTCTTCCATGAAGTCTTCTCAATCTTCCTGGCAGGGGATCCTTCTGTCTCCCGTGCGTCTCATCGGACATAGCGTCCTGATGGCACATCTCCATGGTTTTGCATGGTGTTCCTGGGCCCAAGGGCCATGTGGTATTTCTCCTTGTAGTTGCACAGTTCCTGCTGCATAGTCTGTGCTCAGGAGTCCTCCTCCCAGCCAGCAGGCACCTGGTTCAGGAATGAGGTTAGGAGGGTAGAGCCAGGAGGCTTCCTAAAGCCCTTCCAGGCCTTTGGAAGAGCCCTGTGTTAGGGACCCCAATGGAAGCAGTTAGGTGTCTATCCCACTTATTTTTAGCTTTGGGTGAACTGCAGGGTAAGGGATGGCTCAGACTGGCGAGCAAAGAGAGAACACTGGAGACGGAAACATTATCCCTAGCTGTGGTCACAGCATCTTTGAAGACTCACCCCATCAGGGCTGTGGTATAAAACCTTCATGAGAAGAGCCCATGATGAGGTGCATCTTCATCCCCATGGACAACAGAAATGGCTTCATCCCCTGGAGCAGGAGTTGCTGGTGAACACAGCTTCTTACAAATTAATGCTGTGTGGAGCCCTCTGTCCTCACCCACACAAACCGGATCCTTGGAGCAGATCCTGGCCTGTGGCACTGGGTCTCACCATGTGGCATTTATTCTACCTGAACCACTTGAGCATGTGGCCTGCTCTGACTACCCCAGCCTGCGGAGAATCACAAGGCAGCCAGCTCAGCAACTCTTGGTGTCTGAGATTACTGCGTCCTTCTGGTATCTACCTGCCTCCGATGGCTGTGAGGGTCAGCCTTCTCCCCTGTGCATTGAGTCCGTGTCCTCTGGTCAGGAAGGATGTGTCAACGGGAACCCTCCTGCTAACTTGTCTTACTACTGTCCAGAGTTCATTTCTCCCTTGAAAGGCAAGGTGACTTTGGCTTCCTTCCCACTCTCCTATTTTTTTCCTGGCAGGAGAAGGGTTAAATCAAATGACAGAACATATTGTGGTTGCAACCATAGGCCCTGAACTCAGCTTCAATCAGCATCTAACACACCGTTCTTCAAGGTGTCCCTTCAGGGTGCCCATCAGCCCAGGATGAGGTGGGGGAGTGGGGAGTCGTCTCAGT